GGGGGTGGACTCCTTAGAGTTATCGCATTAAGGTCATGTCATCTGCAAGCAGAGACATTTTTACTTGTTTTCCGTATCATTTTAAAAAATTTAATGCTTTGATCTGTCTAGAATTTGTTTTGTTGTGAGGTATAGGCCACATTGTTTGAGGTTTGTAATTCTTAACCCAGATTGTCCTTTCATCGGACATTTATTTTTCACTCTTAAACAGACTTTGTTTAACCCATTCATGGGCCTATCCATAATATTCCCCACACAACCAGTTTTAGTGATGATGAAGAAAGGTCTCCAGCTTAATATACCACTGAGATAAAGGAATCATTGGGCTCAGGGTGGGGACTCAGCCTCAGTTGGATGCAAGCTGGCGTTGCAGCCCGTTGACTGAGGATTCAGTTCTAAAAGAAAACAGTGCTACAGAAGCAAAGTCCAAATTGATAGAAATACTCGGTTGAAGAGCACATCTACTGGTGAGGGCGCGGTGGAGGGTTCTGAATTCTGCTTTTGCTCCCTGTGGACAGAATCTTTCCGGCCCCTTCTAGCACATTGGTCTCCTGCATAGGTTTGAGGCAAACGTCCCACGGAGGGCGGGCAAGCACACAGGGCCTCTGTCTAAAGGGCTGGTGCCCAGGGGAGTGGGAGGATCCCAGGATGACCTTACAGGTGTCCTCACTCCCCCAGCACTTCTCCCCTGGGAATAGGCAGACAGCGCACGAGAACCTGCAGAGAGGTGCCTCTCAGCAGTAGAGTAGAAGTGAAAAGCAAGCTATTTTCATATATTGTGTGATCCTATCTTTATAAAACAACATAGACAGGACCTACTGATGTGAGAATATATACATATGAGGGGCGGCCATGGGGTAAGAGTCTAAGCAGTTTCACTTGGAATGTGTGGATGCTTTTCAAGCATATATGAAACTTCTATAAGTGGTAGATGAAACCATTCTGCATTTGAAGAGAGCTTTCCAGCAAGGGCAGTTGCTGCTCCGTTGCTGAGTGCCTGGGGCTTGGGGAGGGCCCTCGGCTGCACGCTTCCTCCACCTCACCTCGTGTCCTCTTCCCTGCAGACTGCAATAAGGTCACTGACCAGTGCCTGTCCTTCTTCAAACGGTGTGGGAATATCTGTCATATTGACCTGAGGTACTGCAAGCAAGTTACCAAGGAAGGCTGTGAGCAGTTCATAGCCGAAATGTCGGTTAGTGTCCAGTTCGGGCAAGTGGAAGAAAAACTCCTGCAAAAACTGAGTTAGTCCATGGACAAGTATGTAAATATGGGGTGGGTGAGGGGAGGGGACGTGGCAGGGGAGGGTGAAAGACTTTACAAAAACTAGGGCTTTTTTCAACTTGGAACTTGGAACAACAGACCACAGAACGATTCCATTTTGCAAGTCTCGCTGAGGGAGAAGCCAGTCCACCACCGTTTTGGGGATGAGTGAGTCAGGCGCTTTCCTTTGGTCTTTCTGAATCAAAACTGCACTGCTTTCTGGACCATTTCTAAGGCAGCCTTTACCAAGAAGACATTCCTGTCGGAGAGGAAGGTGGACTTGGGAGAAATTCTCTTACTGGAAGCATGAGCTTAGGAATTTTTTTTTTTTTTTTTTTGGTGGTGGTGTTTTTTGTTTTGGACACCTTATTCCTGGCAACTTTGGGGTTTTTGGTGTCAACATAAAATGGACCACACACCACAGCTGCCGTCTTGACATGTTTGTTTGTTTGGTTTTGTTACATCTTACATTATGCAGAACTATTTTTGTACAAATTGTTCAAAAGTTATTTATGCAAGGTTTGAATGCATACCAGTGTTTTTATTGTTTTGAGATTGCCAACTTTCCTGGTTTCCTTCAGGTAGGAGAGAACTTAACCTGTACTTCATACGAATCCATCTACACACGTGCCCAGATCTGGCAAAACAGGCGAAGACCTTCCAGTTAAAAGCATGTCTGACTGGAAGTTGAGAGCCTGCTTTGTATGTCAAGAAGTTACATACGCATGTTGTGGATATGTGTAAATTATAGCCAAAGTGAGACACTTTGCTAAATTTCCTCTGTATAGAATTCACCTTTCTCAAAATTTTAAAATTCAGACTTCAGCCTTTGAACTCAGGAGGGGTTTGCTCCCGCATATGAGCTCTTGTACTCTACATAGATCTAATTTATACAGTGAGTCAAGAAGTTGAATAAATGATCCAACATAGCCTTTCTTTTCCTTTTTTCTCTCCTTTGAAGTGTGAGTTGAGTTCTCGTTTAAGGTTTATAACATGGCTGTTTCCTAGTTGTAAAATTATGCATTCATAAGTGCCATTGTTGTAAGGTGGTGTTTTCCTAGACCTTCCCTGACGCGGTTTTACCTTTGCTGAATTTGTATAAACAATTGTACAAAAAAAAAAACACTCTTGGACTTGGAGGGTTTCTGTTCTAGGGGTGGACTAGAAATCTGACTAGGAAGTCCAGAGGCAGTAGTCTCAACGCCAGCGTATATACTGTTTTGAAGCCAAACAAGGTATAATTTCTTATTCATCTGAGAAATGCGGCAGCCCCTTGGTACGTGTTTTTTCCGTCTTCAGAAAGAGATCTTGCTGTTTGTAGCTAATAAAGGTAACAGGAAAGAACTGTGCTACACCAGTGTCCATGTGTAAGAATTAGGTACGAACTGCCTTAAGGGGCAGGGTGGCTTATCTGTTTGGGTGCTGCTGACCACACCCATATAAAATAACTTCCACAGCCATTTGGCATTTCCACTGCCAAAGTGGGGACAGGGGTTCATTTCCTCAGCCTCCGCTGGACACAACTCAAGGAGGCCACATCCTGCACTGGTAACCTGGGGCTGGGGTGGTGGAGGCACCTGGTTAGGCGATAACTTCCCCAGGTGGCAGACATAGAAACCAGTGAGAAGTAGACTTTAGATCACAGGATTTTTATACTGGAACAACTGCTCTAGTCATCTGAAAATGAAGATAACCCAGCTTCCTTCCTTAGTTATCAACAGCAACATCAGACTTGGGACTCATGGGACTAGCCTTTCCTGCTGTGGTAGTTTCATACTGCCCCTGCCCCCCATCCTTTTTTTTTTTTTTTTTTGCCACGGTGAAATGGTTTTACATCCCATCTAGTTTGTGCCGCCGCTTATTAATTTAAATCCAGAGATACTTTCTGACTCAAATTGGAGACATCTGAAGCTGTTGCACCCCAGAATTTAACTCAGGAGATGCATTTAACAGAGGTTAAGATTAGTTTAACACTCTGTGGTTTACTTATAAAAACGTGGCTTACCTTTGCAAGCCTGATCGTTCATCGTGGAGCACCCACACAAGAGGTCAAGTTGCAGTCTTCTTGGCGGCCTGAGTGCTGTGAGCCTCCGAGTAGGAGTCACCCTCATGTCCAATAAAGGCATCTTCTCCCTTGGGAACCGTTGAAGGAGGACGGTGGAGATTCAAGTGGAATCTCAGCATTAGAGGGCCCTCTTTCCCCTGTAATGTTTCCAGGAGCACACAGGTCAGCCAAGAGAGGCGGTGAAGGAAGGGCTGCCAGGGCTGAGCAGCCAGAGTTTCCATAAGGACACACCACAGAGTAAGGACAACATCTCTCTAGGCTTGAGACGGCCAAGGCAGTGCACTGGTCACAGATGACCTTCCCCCAAGTGTACTGAACAATCCAGTTAAGATTATACCCCAGTACAGTCTCGAACAGACTCATTCCTTCAAAAATGAGCTTTAGATGAGGCCAGGCCAAGCTAGGTGCCTGCAAACAGCTGCTCTGAGCCCATACACTGTATCTGATGAACTAATGGAAGGACCGTAAACCAGAGGGACCACTTCTTGTGTGAGGATCATAACTTCTTAACCCAGGAAAGAGGAGAGGCCATAACCCTCCTTCCTCTAGGCATCCTGGCCTTGACAAAGGCAGGCACCACGGCCCATCCAAAACATGGAATGACATCCTTCCATCCTGTGAGGACAAGGACAAAGAGACATCATTGCATTCCATTGTGAACTTCCAGAATTTTATCCACCACCTATTCAGAAAATTAAAGATGCATGGCATGCAGCTAGAAAATGCAGATTCCAGGGAGGAATGTTTGCCCTCTGCCAGATAAGTTAGTCCCTTGCAATTCAGTTATTCCAAGTGTCCAGCCTATTAGGCTTAAAATTTGTTGGCTTCTCACTGAGCCAAGGTTATTTCAAAATGCTACTTAAGAAGATCCACCGTTGAGAGTTTTTGTTCATTGCTGAAACAAGCACCTGAAACTATAAGTCCAAAAAGAAACAGTAAACAAGCTGTTCTGAGACTATGAGCAAATAAATCTCAATTTTCTAATTTAAGATACACCAACACCTGCTGCTCAGCTTCTATTTCAGTGTGTTTACCATCACCCACTGGCCTGGATTTGAAGACTTCTCTCCACCAAATTAGGGATTTGTGGGGAACGTTGAACTTCTGGAGTTCACCGTCTCAGAAGAAGTACAGTCTAAGTGCTCCTAAAGCTTCAGCAGGGGCTGAGCTTTTACTGTCCATGTGAATTGTAGCCAGTACCCACCCTGGGCTCTTCAGGCAAGCACAGGAGAAGGGTATTTGAGAATAGCCACAAGGCTTTGGTTTACATGCTGTGACACTCAAAACCAGAAAACATAGAAAGGCAACTTTTTTTTTCACAGCTAGCCAAACTTTCTGCCTTAAAGCACAGAGGGACAAGACTGTTTACCTCCTTTGCTGTAAGTTTCAGGTCTTGTGGATTGACTTCTGGATCCTGAGCACCTGAAGGCATGTGTTAAACACTGCAGAGTCAAAACATAAAACACCCACAGGACTCAGCCAAGAAGTTATGTAGTTTCCTAAAAACATACCTGCCCACAAGCCATGGGAATGAATCCACAGTTGGTCTCAACTAAACCAAAATACCACCCTGATTAGAGCTGGACCTAAAAGAAAAGAGATTTCAGATCATTAATGTCCCAAGAACCTTTCAGCATATGCTAATGTCTCGGGTTTCTCTGTTGTGGTATTAGAAGAGTTAAGAAAAAACACTCATCAGAGCTAGGTTCAAATTCAGATGTGGTGACTTTTTTTTTTTGGCTGCCCCACACGGCTTATGGGATCTTAGTTCCCTGACCAGGGATTGAACCGGTGCCCTGAGCAGTGAGAGCGTAGAGTCCTAACCACTGGACCGCCAGGGAATTCCCTATGGTGACTTTTTAACTGTGAGATTTTCGACAAGTTCTTTAACTTCTCAGAGATCAAGTTCCCCATCTGTGACGTGAGGCAATATCTATTTCAGAATGCTGGAGGTAACCATAAAGCACCTGGCACAATACCTGGTCACAGTATATGGCAAATATGTAGTTAAATTTACTGACAAATTAGCAGCCAAGGTAGACAGGTACAACATCTTTGAAGGTGCTCCTTTCTCTCATGAAGAATATGCTAGACCAGGCCTGGACACCCATTCATGCTGTACCGAAGTGAATTAGGAACTGGCCAGGACAAATGTAAACAAAAGCATTTTTTAAAACCTAATTTTATTCCTAAAGTTCAAACTAGCTAGTGGGTAGCACTGAAAATACACTTTCAATATATAAAACAGTGTAAACTGATTACATGTTAATAAAGAATTTAACACACACACTTCTCTAATGAAGGAAGCTAGATGCAGCCCTCGCTATAAAAAGCTGTACCTGAACAAAAATGGACATGTTTAGTCTCAGGCCCTGGCAATTGACTATAGAATGTCAGTTGTTCCCAATTACGTTTAAACGCAGAAATAGCAACAATGTGGAAAACTACATTCATCAAATAGTAGCATTTAAAATATACATGACTAATAAAATGAACATTCAGAGGTGCCCCTGTTCAGCGTGTACCATGTCGGCCATTTGCAGACAGTGACCTCATCCAGAGAGCAGAAGTTTCAAACATCTGAGTAGTTTAAGTTAAAAATAGGATGAAGGAGAAATAAGAGAACAAGATAAATGTACTCCAAAGAGAACAGTAGCTGATGCCATAAGCAGTCTGACTTCGGTGATTAGTAATCAGAGATGTGTGAAGAAGCCCAGCAGAAACTGGGAAACTGAGCCAGTCCTCCAGCTGACAGGCACACAGCATGGACCAGTGTTGCTGCAACTTAGGATGAATCTTTTCCGTCCCCAGTTAGTCGTGAAAATAATTTTTAAAAATAGCTTCAAATTTTGAACAGGAAGTTTCCAGTCCCTTCTATGCACTGAAACGTCTGGGACCGAGCTTGGGGGGTCCTTGGCTTC